GATTTTTTTGCAGTATCTGCTCGTAGAAAAACTCCGTAAAATTCTGGTTTTTCGCCACTGCTCTTTTGACCATCGGCTACACAGTGAGCAAAGTTTGCGCTTTCCTACTACTTTTGAGAGTAATTTACGCTTTCTCAAAATAGTAGAGGTCTTCAAAAAAATTCATGGCATTTTTGGATTGTACAAGCTTTCTCGTAATATTTATAGATAAACAAAGTATGTATTGTGAAGCCAGAAATTTTGCAAGTCCTTATTGCCTTGAAAAGATGTTTTCGGAACAAAACTACGGCGCTTTGAAGATGAAGTTCGAAAAACGTGCATTTATTATAAATTGTTGATGATTTCTGTATCATCAACCATTGATGAACTATATATTCTAGATAGCCTACGGAATACCCGTAGGCTAAATTGTGAGCTACTCACTCTTGAGTATCTAATCACTCAAGAGTGAGTGGTACCCGTGCACCAGGAGTGTAGCCAATCGGCGGCACCTCCTTTCAAGCACCAACTCGTGTACATTGTACCTTTTACTCGGTTCAGCTCCGCCTTCCTTCCTATATAAGGAGCCTCCGAATGTATTAGAGGTTGCTCCCCGGTCCACACCTGGACACCTCACACACTCTTCTTCACGACTAATCTACGCCAGTGCGAATAAATCTATATTCCACAACCTCGTCTACCCCTAATCACTTGGTACCTACCAAATTGGTGCATCGGAAAGTGATTTTCCTTGCATTTCTCGGCGAATCCTCCTAAGGAAACGAGAAATCAAGGCCTAAGACCCGCGTGGCAGCCTCTACTATAGCCAATATTCGACTCTCGTGATTGCTGGTCCACCACTCTCACGATCAAGAGTCTTAAAGTTGTCAGGTCCTATCCACAACTTAGTAGAGGTTTCTAGCTAACTGACTGGTTCACCACAGTTAGCGACAGACTCCTCGCACTCTCGGCTACTAATTAGCCAATATTCGACTCTAGTGATTGTTGGTCCACCACTTTCACTAATACGAGTCTTGCTAAGCTATCAGGTCATATCCATAGCTTAGCAGAGGTTTTCTAACTAACTGACTGGTTCACCACAGTTAGTACAAGAACTCCTCGAAACTTTTGGCTTTTCCTAAAGTCAAAAAAGGACTCTGTGATTGCTGGTTCACCACTTTCACAAACAAGAGTCATCTTGCGAAGCTATCAGGTCATATCCATAGCCTAGCAAAGAGGTTTTTCTAGCTAACTGACTGGTCCACCACAGTTAGCAACAGAAATCCTCTAACTTTTTTGGCCTCAACCAGCCAAAAAGACTCTGTGATTGTTGGTTCACCACTTTCACAAACAAGAGTCATCTTGCGAAGCTATCAGGTTATATCCATAGCCTAGCAAAGAGGTTTTTCTAGCTAACTGACTGGTCCACCACAGTTAGCAACAGAAGTACTCTAACTTTAGCAAAGAAACCTCAGCTTTCCAAGCTCATTCACGGTCGGTTCACCGATCTTGAGCTTTGGATCGTTACATTCACGGGACAGGTTCCAACATCTTACCGTCCAGTACAGCGTACAAGCCAACCAGGCGCGCTTGCTGACAGCTAGTAGACGCTCGGCACCCACTGGCCAGCTCACTAGAAAGCTTCCTGCAACTAGTAAGGACAGCTATCGTATCGAGGCCAGCTCTGCTGTCGCCCTCACGCCAAAGCGACCAACAAAAGGAGGATACACACTTCCGAATTGGAACGCTTGGAATCACTACACCAGTGCACGACCCTACCCCGTGCAGCAAAACAGAAAATGGCAGCGCTCCAGATTTTCAAGTCAAAAATCAACAATGCCTGCGCACTCGTGAAGTCATACGAGTCGGAAGTGAATGAAATAAACACACCATTCACTTTTCCGGTAGAAAGGACTGAATGCGAGACGTACATCAAAACCAAAATGGGAGAGATAACGCATTTGCTCAACTCTCTGCAAAATGCGGTTAAACTTCAAGACACACAAGTGAACGCCGCGATCGAATACATTGGAGCACGAAATGAAGAAAAAGAGAGAGACAAGCTTATGACAGAACTCAGCAAACACTTGGAGTTGGAATCTCTTCATTTGAAAGTCAAGGTCGTGCAGTGGCAGAACAAAGTTCAGTTCCGTCAAAACGAATTGAAGGATCAAGCTGCATCATTGCTTACCAGTGTGCCAAGCACATCAAGTCATGCAGCCAGCGACGAAGGCCAGACCTGGAACAGCAGCCTTCCACAGCGCAACGAAAGGCAAATAAAAATCCGGAAGCCTCTGCTAGAATCCCTACCTTCTCAGGGAACTTCAGAGAGTTCAACAGCTTCTGGACAGTGTTTGAATCTCTCATCCACGCCGACGAAGACCAATCCGACACTGACAAGTTCTCTTTCTGAAGCAAGCACTAAAGGGGAAAGCAGCAGCCACCTTGAGTTGCATACCCGTCATCGGAGAAAGATATCAGACAGCGATAGATATCTTGAAGAAACATTTCGATCGCTCTGCCAACATGGCAGATATACTTATAAACGAGATCGAAAAACTACCCAGGGCCTCAGATGATCCGAGAAGTTGCCGAAACACTTTTGAAGCAATCAACTCAAGGATCATTCACCTGGAGCAAACGGGAGCAAAGATGAACGCAGACAGACTTTGGCGTCGAATAATCTTTTCCAAATTTCCCGAATCCATCTGTACGACCGCCATCCAGAAAGAAGCGGTACAAGATGATCCATTTGATGTTAGCGAAATCCTGAAACCATCGACAGCATCATTTCACTGCGAGAGACAATCTTGCTAACAACGGAAACTCTCTTTCCAACCAACTACTACCCAAACAACCAAGAAGATGAAAAAACTACCAGATGCGATAGAGAAAAACACTTTTCGAAATCAAAACACTTGTGTTCATGTGGACAACCACATTCTCCTCACACCTGTCAGAGGTACACCACACCAGAAGCCCGACGACTTGAAGCAGCAAATCAAGGAGTGTGTTGGAGATGTTTTGCAAGCGATCACAACTCTAACGCTTGCACGAATTTGGCGTGTGCCCCAAATGCAAAGGAACCATGGATCTCCTTGTTTGTCAGAAGCAGGAAAACGCAGAGTATTCTCGACACAATACCGAGATCCCGCACTTGATCAACATTCACCTGCTCCTTGGTCATCCCGTGACATCAGTCAGGATCGTCATGAGAAGAGTACTACGCACGTCGTACAAGGCTCACGACAAGAAGTCTACAATCCCGAAGTGCTTCCACTTGCACAGGATCAATGTATTCTTCAAATTGTTTCGGCAACCATATTCAACGAGGCAGAGTGGGATTACCAGCGAGTAACGATACTACTTGAATCCGGTGCACAACGAAGTTTCATCAAATCAGGACTTTGTGAAGAACTCAAGCTTCCAGTCCTTCGTACTACTTCGTTTACTACATCTGGGATGGGCGAGCAACAAGAGCAATTCAACTCATCTGAAGTACAAATCACCTTGAAAAGTCTTCACAGCTCCGAAAAGCTCAAGAACTCGTCAGTACACACTAAGCAGAAGCTGACTACCGACATGCAGACAGCAAGTCTCACGGAAGCAGACTTGCGTTTTATCTCTAATGAAAAGCCGATAATCGCTCAAGATACGCCCTCCTGCAAAGGCGTTTCACCCGACATGATCATAGGACAAGATCTCCTAAATCTCGTCACTATCCACAACGACCGAGTGCGCAAGCTTCCTTCAGGGCTCATTCTGACCCCAACCATCTTCGGATTCGTTATATCAGGGACGAGCTGCACTATCACCACATCAAGATTCATCGGCACATTCGGCTGCATATCAGCGCTAAAGAAAACACTGAGGAACAACCGCCCAACTCCACAACACAACGAGAGATTGAAGAAACCCAAAGCGTACTCTCATTTCAACAGTGCGAACACTCGAACATGCAACAAGCCATGATTGCCAAAGCAAAATGAAGGAACAATCCAAAGGAGACGATTCCGTCACGAGCGATGCTACAACCATGTTCTTCATCCAAAAGCCGACAATCCACCTTTATAAGGTCAACAGTCAATGCTTCCATCCTCGCTGAAGCTCGAGCAGACAGACAACGTTGGTTGGCCACAATACGTTCCACGACGAACTCCAATGTTCGCTCCTGATATCGGATAGAATGGCTACCGCAGCGGTTCACAAACAATGAAGCCAAGATAAGGATGACGAGCACACCGGAGAGAAGACATCATGAGTACATACATCGTGTAAGAACGCCGTCTATCAAGGATATGGTCGTCAACGAAGCAACTACCGCTTCAAAGTGGAAGAGGAGGAAATGGCGAGGACGACAAGCAGCGCCAAACCGCCCACCAGCTCCAGCGATCACTAGATGCTTTTATAAATTTACGTTGATAATTTTACTCTTGTGTGTATGTTCAAGTTACTTGCAAATCCTCCTTCATAGCTCATTTTTCTGTATGCGTAGGTATTAACTCATTCGCTAGTCAACTTCACATGTATCTGCCACTCTAATTAGGATCTTACCAGATCTCACTTTCCTCTCGCTCGCCCGGAGTGTTGATGATTTCTGTATCATCAACCATTGATGAACTCTATATTCTAGATAGCCTACGGAATACCCGTAGGCTAAATTGTGAGCTACTCACTCTTGAGTATCTAATCACTCAAGAGTGAGTGGTACCCGTGCACCAGGAGTGTAGCCAATCGGCGGCACCTTCTTTCAAGCACCAACTCGTGTACATTGTACCTTTTACTCGGTTCAGCTCCGCCTTCCTTTTTATATAAGGAGCCTCCGAATGTATTAGAGGTTGCTCCCCGGTCCACACCGGGACACCTCACACACTCTTCTTCACGACTAATCTACGCCAGTGCGAATAAATCTATATTCCACAACCTCGTCTACCCCTAATCACTTGGTACCCACCAAATAAACCAACCTAAAATCAAAGATCCACCAAGTGCATTGCGCTTATTCAACTGACTTTCTTAGTGCACCGATTTATTCATTAAGACCGACAAACAGCTGTACATCATAAACTCCAGGAGTCACGCGCATTTACATACATTTCATACAATTGAACCTGTTTAGAAGCATAGTTTGGCCAAAGATTCAAAGGCAAAGATTTCAAGAATTATTATGGTTGTTCTACAATCTAAAGCATAGCTTGAACAAACTAAACAAAAGGGGATCTAAAGGCAGGAAAACTGGCTTTAAAGAGATCATTAACAGACACGTAAAATCATCAGAACGAATCCAAACTCCTTTAAAAATTCATTCCTAGAAGAAGGCACTTGACGTCTCACAGAAATGAATCTTCTTGTGTTGAAGAACGTTCAGCCATCAGATAGGAACTGGTCAGAAAATCTGCTGAAAATAGAAAAAATTAGTTGTAAGCTTACTTTGGGCTGAGAAAAAGTTCTACGCAGTCTTAGGCAATTCCTATGAAATCTTGAACTGAGAGTGTCACATAAGAATTTTCTAGAAGCGTGAGAAAATGAGGAGTGGCCAAATTTGTTCTTTTTTGGACGGAACTCTTGAAATTACGAGATCTTTATTCGATCCATTATAGTTAGAAAGTAGCACTAGGGTCTGTGAAATTTTCTAATGTATAAAATTTTCGGTCAGTTGTGTTGTAATGTACGAGGCATTTTTGCGCCTAATTTTGCTACATACTGTAAAAGCGCAATTCCGAAGTGCTTCATAGTTTTTTTTTCTGAAGAACAGATTGTAGAGAACTTCTGTTCAAGGAATACTGCTCAACATTTTCTTTCTCAATTCTAAATTTTTGTGGCTCTGTACCATCAAAATCCACAATAATCAGTCATGATGTTTTCCTTGTTTTCTCTTTACTAAAAAATTCTATCACATCGTAAAAATTGAAAAACACTTTGCTGGACAACCAGGATATTTCTTCCATGGTCAACATATTCTCCTCATTTTTGTAGTTTTATAGCTCTGAACATTTGTCTCGTACTATCAAAATATACATTAATCTCGTGTTGAAGACTTGGATACTTTCTCTCGTTTTTTCTTTACCAGTGACTTTTTATCAATTTATTAAGATAGAAATTCTCTCCCACGGTGAGCACCCAGAATGTTTCTTTGTGTTTGTTAACTGCTCTAACGTAAGGTCTAATTTAAGAGTAGACATGAGATTATATCGCAGATTGAAAAACAATACTTAAGAGTTTTGTTTTTATAGCCGACGGCCAATTATAGTTACTCATCGTCTGAAAAATGGCAACAAGCAGTATTTACTCTTGATGCTATAGCAACTAGATGTCTACTTCAGGCTCGTATTTCAAAAAAGGAGAGAACTCTGTGTTTTACAGACTCACACTCACTTCCTTTGTGCGAAACACTGAGGAACGTCCGTTGTGTTTGATAAGGATCTTGATAATGAAGTTTGGAAGTGGCCGGAGAACAGCAAGGAACGAAGCGAGCGATGTTTTCTCGAAGGCGACTGAAAGGCATTATAATTTGAGTACAGGGGTCTCAAATGCTTCAGGGACAAAAAAGAGTTTTTTATAAGAGTGACTTACTTGAAGACCATTTGTCTAAACTTTTGCGATAGCATGATGTAAACGAAGAAGGACAGGCTCATATTGCAGAAGCCTAAGAACAATCCTACCGTATAACACACGCATACGGTAGGTTTTTCGATCACTTGAGGACCGGATATGGCAGCATAGATAAATACTGGTATCGGTGGTAACTCTGCCAGAAGCTAAAAGAAGAAGTTGTTCCATTAGATAATTCAGTTCTCACAACTTGAATCTCATCTAATAAGAACGACGTCCCCATCTGAAGAATATTTTGTTATTGTCATTCGCCCTCCCCCCCCCCCCCAGGCTTGGCACATGTGACTTATAAACAAGTGGATATCGTTTTTGAGACAAAAATCAAAGAAGACATCGTTTTTGCCGACCGAAAAAGCACAATTTAGGTGAAGTTTTTTTAGTCGACGTTTCCAATTTTGGGTCAAAGGAGACTTCGTAAAATTCTGCGAAACTCGACAGGACTCCTTTTTGGCCTATTCGGAAAGCCACCATGGTGTCAAGCCCTACCCCACCCTCTTTCGGCTTCTTTAAAAAATGACTGAAATCTTATGCCCACCTGCAAACCTGTCGTTATCAATGTTATTCGAGTGACGCACCTCTTCTCAGCTCTGCAAAAAAATGCTTGATTAGATCTAATAAACACCTTGGCTATTTGGAAAAATGGTAAGACTTACGTGAAATGGCAAGCATTTGGATTTTCAGATTTTCGCAGTACGAATTTCCACACAACGGATATAGTCATGAAGATGAGTAAAGACAATGGTATGACAATGGCGAAGAGTAGATTAGCGATGGTATGAAGTCGTTCAAATAGTGTCATGAGAGGCGCTGAAAAATATTTCGCATGATATCATGACGTCATGGCAAATAAAACCAACTAAAAAATTCACTAATTAGACGGTTTTAGTTTAGAAATATCTGAGAGTGCTGTTAATGTTGAGTGCTGAACGGATGCGGCTCAAAAACGGCATCGCCTATGCCACGTTTTTAGTAATCTTTCGTAAATCATTGTTTTGTAAGACGAAGTCTATTAGTACAGAAAGATAAGAATCTTTAGCTTCTATTGTTTTAATTATATCAGTATTCGTTCATAGAGAGTTACGCCCTGTTTTCGCAAGAAAGTTAGAATTTGAGTAGCCCTTGTATAAGCTTCGAAGGTAATGAACACCCGAAACATAAAAAGGCTTTTTTGATGAAGTGCATTCTCCGAATTTGTTTGCGGAAATACGCACTATTGCAGTTCCACAAATGAGCTTGACGAACTAGATTGAACAAAAATATGAGAGAAACAAAAAAGAAATGCATTGGCATAACATTATACAAAAAATCCTGCACTTAATTACGATGATATTAATTAGATGAAAATGAACCTTCACGGAGCGATTAATCATCGATGAAAATGAATAAAATTTGCAGAAAAAGACCAATAGAAGAGAAACTTTCATTCAAAATCTGCAAGAAATCAAATTTTAAAAAAAGCTTACTTGTACTGGAAACGATTTGAATATTGACCCGATAACAATTATCCGTCGTTACAGAAACCGAGCGATTTAGCGGATAGATAATGGCAAGAAGAAGTCCGGCTACAGCGATTACTATATAACTCCTGAACAAACGAATTTTGGGGAGATTAAAATATTCCAAGTTTATGGGTCTTACTTCGAGAGATTCCTTTTCGTACATAGCGATTTCGAATGAGCAGGAAAGAAGACATGCAAATAACATTCACCCGTCATCAGCACAGTCAACCTAAATAAAATTCTTTTTTTTCTTGTACAAAGAAACACAGTATAACGAAGATCGTCTTCCAGCTTCATAGGGCAAAAAGATTTTGATTGACTGGGAAATCTGCTCATCTTATGCGTTTCTAGTAAATTTTTTACAGCACACTCCTTTTCCCAGTACACAAAAATGAGATCATATTTCAGCGAATTTTCTACAGCTTTTTCCCACATATGGATAAGATAGTACCACGGCTTCTTAGAGCAAGTAAGAAGATTTTGTTCAATGCGGAAACTGCTCCCTTCAGGCAAATTTAGCAAATTTTTGTTGATGCCCCAAAACACGAGTAAGATTACTATCTTTAGGCTATTGCTTAAATGCAGTTATGAGTAGTCGAATGACTCGAAGTTGACGAATGACACACTCTTGCGGCTCTGAAGCGCTTTTTGGAATTACTGCAGGTATACGGTAAGATTGCTAGATTTTCTGACTTCCCTGTGAGGTGTTTACGAATACTATATTATGTGCACTTTGTGTATTGCGATTCAATACTTGTTTGTCAAAAAGTTTGCCATGCAAAAACATTATCTTTGATTTCGGCATTTAGCCTTTTAGATAACTGTACCAAATCTATGAACTAGAATGGCATACCGTATACCTACCGTATGCCGCCGTGCGGTAACTCGTCGCCAGGGACAGGCATGTCAAGTAAATCATAGGGGTATAATTTCAGCAAGATTGAAAACTGCGAGATTTTGCTGGTGGAATGAGAATTATGGAAATATGCGAAAATTTGCGATTTTTGAAGTACTGGAGAAAAAGTTGGAAAAGAAAACCTCTTCAACCATACATCAAAAACTCACCACATTGCACAAAATCCAAAAACATTGACAAAATAAGCTTGATAGGGATAATATCTCCAGTAAATGGCATCTGCTGCGGAGTTTCCCACTTCCCATGCACCAACGGTTCGCAACGCTTGTGGCAGAAGAAACAACATCGCTAATGTATTCATAAACTATAAACAACTGACTAAGGATAATTAATCGATTTGTGCATTGACGTACCAATCGTGTACACAGCATACGAATGGCAATGTAGTAGCGAATCTGGTCGAAATTGTAGATAAGTAGATTGATGCAGTTACCAAACATGGCTAAGGTAAAAACTATCAAAAATCCGGTACCCATAAGCATGACGTGAAATGGTCGCTGATCGCATCGTAGCTGAAAAGTACTTGGATTAGGTAGAAGACAAAGACTTATTTATCTATTAATTCACCTATTTATATTTATATATTTATCTATTCATCAAGTATGCCAATATGTTTTGAAGGACTGTGAACTTACAAACAATGAATTCAAGCAAAAAACATGGAACATTGCCAATTTAGAAAAATGTATAAAAACCGTCGTCATTTATTGATTATTTATTATTGATTTAACTATTCAATAAGTGCAAAAAAGCAAGCCTCAAGAGCTTTTTGTAACAGATGAATGATACTGTTCGCGTTGAGCATCTAAAAAAAGTTGAGCTGGAAATGTTGAGTCCAGAAAGAATCAATTTTTCAAAAAAGTATTCCGCGTTTGGCACATTAAGAAATGTAGTATTATTTTTCAAAATTCAGAGCTATTTTAGTGAAGATTGTTTACTATTATATCCCTTTTAACGTGAATCAAAAGTATAAACCAACCTCTTGTTGATCGCATCTTTTACTGAGTATAGCAGACTCAAGAAATCGCATATAGTCTTCAGTTAAATTTGCTTGCAGCACCATTTTCTGTAAATACGGGCAATTACGACTAACATACGCAAACTCAAAGAACGTAATTCGACGACAGTGACCAAAGAAAACGTTCGAGGACAGTGACCAAAGAAAACGACTGGAGAACGAAGTCCGAGAAAAGAAAGAGGAGCATTGAGAAAGCGGGTCCGAGTGAGATTGAGGTTCAGTTCTCGATGTACATATAACACACAGACAGTTCGTGATTAGGTTGCCTAGCAATTTAATTGTTTGATGATAAACAGAAGAGTAATGCGGAATCAGAATCGCACGTAGAAATCTCCCTTGGGCATTTAATTCACTTAGCTGTTCAACATCGTGAGCTAGAAAGTCGAAAACCATAGACATTGAAATAAACTCGTGACAAGAAGATGATGTCTGACGTCGGACGAACGCTTTCTAATTCTATAGTACTAGTATGATGTATAATTGAAAGAACTCCCATTCAAAAATCGAGTTCACCTGTCTCGCACTTTTGCCAGTCCGTCTGAGTACACACAAGAGAGAAGAGAACGAGCAGATGGGGCAATTTTGAGATTGAAGGTCTTATTCCGCAAATTATAGTTTTTAGTGTGCAGGTCTAGCCAGTTTTCAATAACCAAGTACATCTTCAATTTCAAACAAAATTTGCGCATAGCCTTGAAGCATCTTATGATTCCCTCAAAGAGCTCGCGGAATTTCTGAAAATTGCCTACGTGGGATATATTGCGCAAACACTTGTTTCCAATCGTGAAAATTAAAATAACTCTGAATTTTTCAAATCAAATTGACCTTGCAAAATTTTGGGCGTAGCTGTCGCCACACTCCTTTTTCTTGAAAATCTCGGAAGTTGAGGCAATTTCAAAAGCAATTCAATTTTTTAGAAGCCATAAGACACGCCACGCCTCTTCATTCAGAAAATTTTGCCCCCCCACGCTCTTCGCGAAAAATTTTTTCGGACCGCCACGTTTACAAAAGATTAAAAAATGAGGCCAGAACTTGTTGAAGATCATAAACTATGAGTCAGAAGCATGTAAAATATTGTATTGGACAGAAGTGATCATGTTGAATCTTTATTTTTGAGAGGACGAATGGTGTGGTGGCTTGAGGCGCCGTCATAACCGATGGGATCGAAGTTCAATCCCCCGACCGTAACTCTATAAAGTCCTCTGAGTTCTTCACTCTATAAGGAAGGTGAATTATTATCAGAATATGAAGTGACCACAATTTTCATGGTTTTGCACACATTCAAATGCCTCTAGCGCATTTCCGCAAATCCCTGCCTCCTTTATTCTTTTTGTCCCGTCATGAACCGCTAAGAAAGGATGAAAAAGAGACAACTTCAAGAATATGTATGAAACTTTGGAGCAGCATATGTCAATCAAAATCAGTCCAACATGCAAGTAAAGCATAAAAGGACATTTGACGTTGACAATGACATTTGTACTAATCAGAAATGCTGTTTTACAAAATCACATGGCTCTCCGTAGTAACTAAGAAGAGGGAAAGTTATGAGCACTGGTGTAAATAAGCTCCAAGCAGAAAGTGATGTCGTTAAATACAATGATAATTAAAATGATACGTGCCGTTATTTGAGCAGTTTCTGATTGACTTGAGAGTAAACAAATTTTGAATGACAAGCTTTAGATAATGGGACGATGACGTCATAAAAAGCTCATCTCTTTCACAGAATTTGTCATTGTGAGCCGAAACACCCTGACAAGGCATTCTGCGTTGAATAGCTAGAAGAATAAGGGAAATACTCCAGACCGATCGGAATGACACGAATTGCACATTCGCTGGTTCCATTTCATTTATTACATAGATTGGCCCTATGACGGATGACGACAACTCTGAAAAAGATTCAAATAAAAACTAGATGCTTTCAATTTTCAGAATTGCATAATGTTGTAAAAAAGTGATTATTCCATGTACTCTTAATATTATATACCTAGGAAAATTTACAATTTTCTGTGCCCTTCATTTTGGATCGTTATGGATGAACTCTTCGCAATCTATTTACTCAACTTCACTAGTTTGATCACACTTCATTGTACATACATTAAAAATTCCCTAATGAAATGTCATCTTCTCTAATTAATTTTTTCAGATTAAGAAAGATGAAACCAGACAAAAATTATTCAATAGATTCGTTTTTTATGTGTTCTGAGTATCGTTTCTAATTGGGTTTCAAACCAATTAGAAACGATATCAGAACACACAAACCAACTGAACCAAAAGATGGTTTTTGGTTGAGTAACCAATTAGAAACGATATTCAGAACACACAAAAAATCGAATCTATCGAATAATGTTTGTTTGGTTTCATGGTAGAGAATAATTTAAAGTGAAATACGTCGGAACAAATAATAAACAAATAATAAAAATACAAACATTCTCATTAAGAAAAGGCGTAAATAGCTAATTTTGGGCTTCAAAATAGAATTTGTCCTTGTTTGGAAAAAGTCAAAGTGCCCATTTGTATTCTTGAAACATTCTGTCGCATAACAAATCGCTCCATTCATCTTTTTTTTTGATCAAATGTGCGCAATCACTCCAACTACATATTTTGCGCTTAAGCCCACGACATAACAAACAAGGTAATTTGTTTCTATATTTCATTGATATCAGATTTCGAAGAGGCACAAATTAAATTGAGTTGTTCTTTCAAAAAAATGCGCTAAATTTTTTTTCATGTAAACCGCGCAAGGGGCAGAATTTGAATGTGCGAACCAATAGAAATTAGAATACTTTTTATCGATTTGGAAATCAACGACTTAAAAACTTTTCTCCTCATACATTATAAAAATCTACCTCACACTTTTTTAATCTAACCAAAGTTTTTTTGAGTCCAAAAATACTCTCATTTATTTTAATGTTCAGCTCACCGGTTGATATGCTTAGCTGGTAAATATGTATTGGGCTAAGTACATATTTTTCCTTTTTTTTATGACCCTCGAGCGTAAGTTATAGCTTAAATATAAATAAATATGAATTTTCCAACGTATAATGGTCTTTGGCAGACAGTTAGACTGATTAAACTGACCTAAAGAGATGGCGGAAGCGGAAAACACTGATTTACATTACTTAACAGCCATTTACATACTGGGAAATTGGCTTTAGAGAGAAAAAACTAAGCCAATCAGGGAAGCATCACGTACATGGCAACCAGAGATCAAGAATTTTGTTAAGCTACCTAGAGTGATAAATTATCGCAAAAAAAATTCCTATCACCTAAGAAATAATGGAATCACAAGGTATCATCAAAACATTTGATGATCATTATCCTCGACATTTCAATAGAGTTTGGTTTTAGTTCGATAGAGTTTCGTGAGATTGCTCACACCGTTCTTTCACTTCTGAACCTTGAATTTCTGAATTAGATTTGAAGTAAAAATTCTCCGAAAAACCACACAAAATGTCGAGTATATAGTCTTTAGTTGTATGTCTCATGCTTTTCATGTATTGCATAAATCATTAAGTATAAGGACAAAGTACTCAATTTGTACCTAATGAATTATTGGCTTGAAATTTTTAGGAACACTGAAGTTCAATAGATCAACAGTAGACCTGAAACAAAATGCATATGTATGTCATACTCAAATTTTTTTTACCAATATTCGAACTTTTCTGACAGTTTTCAGTTTTTCAAAATTTTTGTAATTTTGAAAGTTGAAGGAGGGTTTTGCTTTTGTTCATAACATTTTCATGCGTTATCATCAAGTTTTTGAGTAGTTAGCTCATAGAGTAGTGGGTTGTTAAATTTTGTTATCCAACGAACAAAATTTTGATAGATCTCAAAAACTTCACCTTATTCTCTATGTGAATGATTGCGAATTTTTACAGTACATGTCATCGCGCGTAAAGAACCAAAAATTTGAGTTTTTTGTTTTTATTTCGCAGAATTTTTCAAAGAGTTTCAAGACTGAACTTGTCAAATTTCCAACTCGCGTTGATAAAAGCCTGTACTTTCAAAGTGCTTTCGTATTTTCGCATTACCTCTTACTCCAAGAAGTTTATAAAAATTTTGAAAAGATGGAGAAAAAGAATGAGAAAGGCTAAAAAAGAAATCATGGAGGTGGAAGTGCTGTTAGAGAACGTTTCTTTATTAAATGTGACTCATGTTCTAGGACTGAAAAGATGAAAAGTGATGGCAATTGTTTCTTCCTCATACGTGTCAGATGTGGAACATTGACTAAGTTTCTAGAGTTTTCCAGAGGAAGATGAAGAAAGCGAACAAAACAAAATTTCTGCGATCACCCTTTATTATTTGAAAAAAAAGCATTTTCGTGCAGCTTCTCATAATTGAGATAAAAACACATTCTCCCTTTAACCCTCAATACGGATAAAATTAGTTACTCATTTCATTCTGAATTTTATGGTCCAAAAATAATTCAAATGCAAAGCAAGCAAATTCGCAAATCTGCTTCATATAGATTAGCATACAAATACGACCAAAAACTTCGGACTAGAATCTTCTTAAGCGATTCTGGAGTCAGGCTTATAGAGATTGCGCAAAGCTTTACCAGATTATGTGTTCCATTTGATCGCTCTATGACTGCGCTTGCCTCAAATTGCATCTCAAACGTACGAATGAATGCCTGACTGACCTTCGAGAAGAAACATTTTATTTTTATGTGGGATGGACTCTTCCATACATTATGCATGAAGGAAATAGGTGAACCGTGGGAGAAAACCGCTGGAAATACGATATGTCCCCTTTAACTTTCTGTGATGGGCAGTCAACGAGCAGGGTCCAGGTTTTCGAATCACAAATTACAAGAGGCTTCAATTCATTACAGTATAATGCACATGCCCAGCGATGGCCTGATGATGATGGCCTTTGACTGAAAAGGTGCGATTTGCTAATAGTCAGAATTCACGGTAATTTGCTTGATTCACAATCTTACAATGGAGGAGGAATGATGAGTAGACGAGGAAGTGAAGATAGTCGATGCACAGCTCACCGACGCTAGAACCTCTAGATAGCAATTCATAAATTAGGGGATGACAAAACAACATTTCTTGTGCACAAAACAAAAACATCTCTATTGGTTGCGAAATCGGAGTGAACATAGGCAAAAGAAAATGGAATGAACCTCGACAAAACAGCATGGAAGGGGAAGTTCCCAACTCCACAGAACGTGCGCAGGGAAAGTGCAAGTGGGAATTGTAATTGTATAGATCCAGAACATTAAATACATCAGCAACGCGTTGTATTCAAAAAAAATTATAGGGATTCGTCAAATTGCCAAAGTCTATGAGAAGGGCTCGGCACAGGTGGCATGGTAAGCAAACCGGATATCGTTTTTGGGACAAAAAGCAAAGGGGTTTCGTTTTTGTGGAAGGAAAGACACAAAATTTGCGAGGTTTAGTCGACTTTTTGTTTTTTTCAAGAATTTTTGGAGATTATGGTCTAGGGTCAAAGGGGACTTCGTAAAAATTCGCAAAATTCAAGGGAGATTTCGTTTTTTTTGCACTTTCAATTAGCCACCTCGTGCCAAGCCCCGGCTATGAACTAGCCTTTCTAACTACGGATGAAGTCAAGATTATGATTAATTTACAGAGATTTTGGGCTTCAGTCGAACAGATCAAAGTTCAATGAGCCACAGTTCAGCAAATTTTCTCAGAAGTTAACAGCAGAAAGGTAAATGAGGAAGCTCTCGGAACAGCTTAATTTTTTGCAAATTTGTACCATTATTCTAATATTACTAGTGGACCAGTAATCTCAAAGGTGCTAGTCGCAGGCGCGCTCGCTTCGGAACCCGCTCGGTTTCCCGCTATTTGATGATTTTTGAATGCGCGTTACGCTTCATTATATATTAGACTAGTGAACCAGTAATTAAAGATGCTATTTGGAAGAGCATTCGCTTCGGGACCAGCCGCGGTCTCCCGCTATTGGAAGATTTTTGAATTGAGCCAATGATTCTTCATACATAAGATTAGATATCTATTTTATCAAAATTAACTAGGATCGAAAGAGAGTTTGGAGGGAGAAAGAAATTGTCTACTTTTCCATTTATGTATTACAACAGTATGGTCATAACATCTCCTAAAGAATAGGGTAGTCATTTCGACAGCAATTCGATACAAATCATGGAAAATTTTCTACATCTTCTATATTTTGTTATGTGGAAAAATGTCTAGATTCTACATAAGTACCCGATGAAACAAGCCTAATGTTGTATACTTCATAATTCGCTTGCATGAAAAAAATCACTCTATTTCTCGATGGTAGCTCTCGCACATTTTTTCAAGAAAAATGCCAAAGGTGAGTGTCAAAAAAAGCGATAGCTGTAGATAATCTGACTCTGGATTTAGGGTTGTATGAGCAGCATAGAGATTTTCTTTATGAAGTAATATGTTTCTTGCTGGCATAGATATAGACCCGAAAACTAAAATTCAGGGCCTAATGAGCAGCTAGGCAAATAGCCTTTTAGAATGACCTTATACCAAGGTATTATATCAATAAAAATGAGCAAATCTGTACTTTAGCTGAAGGCCGGTACAACATTCGTCATACCTCCAACTTTGATATCATTCAGGTAGTGTCAACAACTAACTATTGTAACCATAGTGCTCCGTACTCTAAGATAGATTATAGTTTAGCAGTACCTTCGCTTGCAGTAAAAACATAATATGAACGAACAGTGGGTGGAAATTGAGCATTTTTTATTTCCGTTAAGAAGCATTCAAATTTAAGGCAAATGCAGGAATTCATGCAAACTAGTTTTTTAGGACTGCACATGCCTTTACATTAATGATTCAGAGCTTTTTGTTCTTTGCAATAACTTGAGTGCAAATAAGGTGAAGTGAAGTGGATGTGGGGAAGAGGGGGAGAGTGAGCTCCATAAATATGCACATCATTTGAAATGCAAAGAATAAGCACGAAAATGATAATGATGATATGTAAGAGGCATATTTATATAACTACAAAAGATTTAGCGGTATGAAACCAAAGCTTAGATTTTCTCAATGCCATACTCATCTTTCATATCTTGCTCTCTTTCCGAATGGGTTTCTTTTTTGAATGGCGCATTACAATTGTGTAATGCACTTATATAAATGTAAATATAACTATAAAAGTGTTTATCACAGAGTACATCAACTATGGTAGAAAACAGTCCCGCAATCCAGCGATATATACGCCGTAATGAAAGGATAAAGTCCTTATCAAGTCATTGCTGCAAGCTAGCTGGATTTAGCACTGCAAGCAAATCAAGGTGTGGCACAGCAGCGGTTGCAAAGCCTTTGAGTAGTCGAGAGAGAATTACATTTGAAGAAACGCAGACAGCTATACTAGCACCGCCCAGTAGTCAGAACGCATGAAGTGTCTACTTAGGTGATTCACGGCATTGTTGGGATTGATGAGCATTTTCCATGAAAATAGGCAATTTCCGAAATGGAGAATAAGCGGATAGGAAGCGCAATCAAGTTTTGGATTATTGTGCAGTAACATGATGAGTTGCTGCAAATAAATTCTTCAAAACTGACTCATAAAAAATACAACATATTTTTAATTTTCTTTTTTCCCACACTCTCGCACTGACATTCACATCCATACTGTATTATTTTTGTAATTCATATCGTATAGATGATGTATTTCGAAAAAATTAATAGGTGATTGTTTTAAAACGAAAATAAGACGAGTTGAATGTGTGTATGTGTTCCACAAAGTCAATAAAGCATATCAAACACATTCGACGGTGTTCCATTACACAATGTAAATAGACGAAGCATGACCAATTAGCCATTCATTGGTTCTGGATGGGGGGGGGCAGAAGTTCCGCTTGACTAAGGAGGCGTAACGTTAACCAGGATTCCAAGAATTGTTTCACACAAAATAATTTGACGTATCAGCTGAAAATTATTTCCAAGCTAAATTGATGGGCCATCTCTTTTTCCCAAAAGAAGTGCACCTTTGTCCCCGGCCTTTTCCTAATTTCTACTATCGGCAAGTCCACAATTTCTGTAAGGATCAAATTCAGGGTTGGATTGATCAGTGGCAGTAATCCCTGGCACAGACCAAGAATAATCACACCACAACAAAGCGATAAGGTGCTCAGGATATAGCACTCTGAGTAAGTGGGATGTCACTTGCATAGAAAATCCTGCAAGCTAGTAGCTAAACGAGTCGCAAAATTACGCTTATATGTTATTGTTAATTCAAAATTTGAAGAAAGTTTGGTATCTTGAAAAAAGTATTTTGTTCCTCTTTCACTCGGCAGACAGCTAGCTCTTCAAACAAAAAAAATAGTTGATTTTAAACAACCGATTTGAGAGCAAGAAAGAAAGAAATAAACTCCAAATTTACCTGACTGGAACGCTGTAATTTATTCTATGGCTGAGCCTTATAAATCAGTTGCTAAGAAATCGTCTTTGGCAAAAGCTTGGAAGGAACTTCCGCAAAAAATTATCTAAAAAGCAATCAATGAACTTCCAGAACGATGTAAATGTATTGATATGAAAGGGTCATTTTGGGAGGCAAATTATAAATCGTTTGAAAATGGGGAACATAAGATACAGAATGGTATTTGATATCTTAACCCCGAAATCGGATAGTGTTCAAAAATCAGACAAAAATGGTTGAGACTCTTTTGTGTGTCTAGATAGAATTTCAACTATCAAATGCTTAAAACAATTTTGTTGTATGTATTATATATGGCTCTATATTTTCATCATTAGATTTCGAAAAAAATTTCGAAAGATTACTGAAAAAGCAATTGGGATGATTAAAATTCGTATTCAGACCATGTTGATGATTATCTTGAGAAGAAAAAATTGACCAGGAAGCTGTGTGGGATTGCATAACTTTCCATGAGATCTCGTGGGAAGATAAATTTGAAAATGTTCGGAAAAAATGCACTTGCCCACTCACTAGCCTATCAGATGTTTACCGCATGGATTTCTTCTCTTTTTAGACGTAGATTTGAAATAAAAAAATGTTTTTTGACTTCCTAAGCAGGAAGTACATCTTATTTTGGTAACACTAGGTTCTTACTCTTATGAAAAAAAGTGCTGAAGCCAGTTTTGAATCAAAATGTTTGCTTCCGCTTGCAAAAACCGCTGAAGACTGCGAATGTTTTCGAATCAGACTTAGCCGAGTAATTACTTTTTTCTACATTATTATAGCCTACAAACTTGTTTTTCGCCAATTATGTTGTTGCCTGTGTCTATTTACGTCAAAGCTACGCTGTGTCATGTAATTATCACCACAAAATATCCTAGTAGATATTTTTCTGCAAAATTTATGCAAACATCTTCTGATAGGGAATAAGAGCTCACAAAGCAGGGTGATCACTGTCGAGATTTTCTTGAGCAACATTTCAAAACAAAATTGGATAGCAAAGCAGATCCTATTCGCATCCAATTTTAAAAATGTTTTGATTTAGAAAAAATATGTGAAAGTGTAGTTATGGTAAAGATATGTAAGTGCAAAAAATTGTTTTCGTTACGAAAAGTGAAGAATTTCTGTATTCCAGATTAAGCCAACAAAAGAGATGCTCTCCCTTTTTCATCTACCCCCTCCCCTCCCTTCCACCATTCGCCTGACATTACAATTTATGACAACTGGGCAAACTCAATCACTCGTAATTCTTATATACTCTATTTTAACAGTTTTTTAGAAACAGACAAAAGTTGAGACTGGCTTAGAAGACGCCTCTGGCCATATTGCGGTAAAAAAAACTATATACGTATATTTATGTATAAGCGGTATTGCTAAAAACTGATATTTATTGAAAGCATGCCTTCTACCACTTTGTAAAGAGTTTTGCTTATGCATAGTCATAATATTGTGCCTCTTGTAATAAACTGTATATATGTCCCAAAAAAGATGTCTTCAATTTTTGGAATAAAAAATTCTGTCTACAGTAGCTCAAACTTAGAGCCTGATGAACAAAGGATTTGATGCCATAGCATAGAGCGTAGATATCAAGATTTCAAAAAAGCGATGAAATTGGAGATCAGCGTTGTTTTGAGTCAAGCTAATCTCTGTCACATAAAAAGGTTTCTTTCAAAGATTTGTTTCGCTTTAGGATTAGGCTAAGGTTTCCTCAAACATTATTCATCCGCCTTGCCCAGCTAAATGCCTTGCGCCATTTTCAAAATTTGTGCAACTGTGATCAAACGAGACAGAGAATGCAATGAAGGTTAATTGAAGGGATATTCAAAGCATTTTTTCCCTAAACAATGAACCTCATCCAAACAACGTGACTGAGATTAGATTGCTAGCAATTTCAATGAGCTTGGATTTTGGTTGATGAGAAATTGGAACAAAACACAACAGGAGCTCATGTTTTTTGTTTTATTCAATCTCATTTTACATTCAAGCATCTGCGTTTTTGTTGTGTCATTTTGCGTCAATTGCAATTTCCAAGCCAGTGACTTTCTACATGTGATGGGATGTCCACTTCCGCATATAAATCTTCATTTATTTGACTTTGTGCTGTAAACAGCAGAGCTCCAAGAATAAATCTTTCAGTGTAGGAGGATTTGCTGCAGAAACAGAATTACACTTTTCAAACACACCACTTTCTGACCAGATGCACTAATTTCATTCAATTGAAAATGACGTGAGATCAAAGCGAATTACAAGGATGTCCTGACAATAATGAGGATTATTCGGAGAAGTAAACAACCTGAAACTCAGAAGTGCTAATGATTAATCTTAACACATGTTGCTTGATGTGACTAATTGGTTGAGTGGGTTGCACTTAAGCTAGACATCGTTGTTTGATTCGCTGAGTTTCTTCAGCAGGAAAAGCGAAAAAATCCTCAATTGTCAACGGTGTGAAAATAAAGAAAATTTTTTGACAAAAATGCATTCTTGCCAGTTTCTATAGCGCAAATCAAGTGGATCTATTCGCTTTTTTTCATAGAAATTTTCGTGAAAATTTTATATGAGTTCCGAGTTTAATGTGACTGCTTAGCTGATCATCATACAGTGGACAGAGTTTATATTATTCTACTACATATTTCAGAGTACATAAGATACGTTTTTATTGGGAGTTTCTAGAAAAAATATTTGGATCTTGGGCCTAGGAAATCTTTTTATTGTTCCTCAAATAAATTTCAAATAGGCAAACTACTATCAGGATTTTGATTGTAATGGAATTTGTTGTAATCACAATGAGCTTTCTGGAGAGAGTTAGGTAAGTCAAAGTTCTACTCAGAAAACGTTAAAACTTTTCAACAGCCCAATATTATTATTATGAAGAATATTGCCAATTATCTAAATTATCAGTATTGCTCGTGTAGATACAGACTTAATTTTTTCAGCTAAGCCATTGGCAAATGGGCTCATACTATTATGTAGCCGCAAATCCTAAATACGAGACCGGACCGTAACCTGCATCGACTACGGTTGAAGAAGTATGGTCTGAGCTAGAGTTTAGGTCTGCAATTCTTACAATTAGACACGAATCAGTCATATGAGCTGCCATTTGCAAGCCTTAGTTGTAGAAGAATTTCTATACAAAAAACCGGGTAGTTTAGCAGGTATTTTCTGCTCGACAGCCCTCTAACCTTTACGACAATACTCGGAGCAACTAATTAGACACTAATTTGTCACATTCCGTAAATATCTCAGCTGCAAAATTTTCTCCTCCAACTTGAAACTCAGCTTAGAATTCAGATTATTTGCTAATTACTTATGGGCAAAAACATGATACAAGTGATTCGAACTCAAAATAGATACATTGATAGTACTCTGCGCGTTCTCCACGGCTTGCAAAACTATAATTGCCATGAATATTTTGTTAGAGTCTGCCAGAAGTTAAGACCAAGCATCAATGATAAGCCCCGTGGTCATTGGCCGATAGCTTTGCATTTAGAGTCTCAGCGGCATCATAAAAGGGTAGTTGACTACAAGTTTTATGATTTCTCATGCAAATCCCAGGATCAGAAAACGATCGCAGATCAGAGACCGCCTTTGGGTGAAAAACAAATAATGGGTATAATAGAGACTTGTACGAGGGTTAAGATCAGCCAAAAAGATTATTTTTGCGAAAAATCTTGGAGAAATTTCTTGCAAAATATAGAAAACTGAAAATATCGCCATCAAAATTATCAGACAGATCTTTGTCATTATTGCTGAAGCTCGAAAAAAAATAGAGAAACAGGAAGAAAATCTCTAGACGGCAATTATTCAGCGGATGTTGATACTATCTCATTTCCTCATGCTGCGCTCATTTGTTCGCCAACTTCTATCGAAAACATAAACCATGATACATATGAGCAATTATGCATCCTCTCGAAGGATTCGAGAATCGTAAAGGAACGGGAGGGGGTGGGGTACAAAAACAATAATATGCTGTTTAAACTTTTTTGAAACAAAATTAAAGCAAAATTTGAAGTGAGTGTTTCAACCGCAGCGAGTCTTGGCTTAGAAGACATGCCCAAGAATTCCGCGCGGGACCTTATACCGTAAGGCGCTCCGGGTATGATAGCGTGTGGGTTACTCGCCTTCATAGTGAAGCGCCAAACTCAGTCCACTTGATACACTTCGTCCATCACTATTGGTCAGATCAGTGGACTCACCAATAGCAAAGCGAGTGGTGAGTCCACTGATTGGTCATTTGTCAGTTCACTAAATTGACCAATAGCGAAGTGGTTGATGTGGATCAAGCGGATGTGGACCAAGTATGGCGTTTGCCAAAACAGGCGGGTTGCGCTACTGATCTTTATTTCTTGTAATTTCTCTTTGAGTCATAAAATAAATGAAACAAAAAAATTCCAATTTTCTTGAGACCGCGAAAGCAAAGCATTTGATCCAAATTTAATCAGGATTGTTTTTCTGCTAGTGAATCTCCAATTTCTATTCTTCAAATCATTAAAGACGTTGGCAATCCGAAGTTAATTAACAAAAACACAAGAAAATGTGCACATGGTCAAGCATAGCCGAAGAAAGAAAGCTTTTTTGCCATGCACAAGAGGAGATGCAAACGGAAACCTCTTTTGTTTTTGTTAACAGTGGATGAATCCGCCTGGAACGAGGCGGATGTGACATATTATAGAGAATTGCATATCTCATATCTTATATGGGAAAAGCCAGTGGGGATAAATTTCAAGCTTGGATAGTCCAGGATTAGAAACTTTTTACAACTATACTGTGCTTGAAGGAAAATCCGTAAAGCAGCGAGACTCATGAGTGATAAGAAAAGCATATTTCTAAATCGTTATATTTTATGAGTCCGCACACTATGCGCGGCAACTGACGGCACCTTTACCAATAACTCCTCCTAGTAAGAGTTCTAGCGCAAAAAAAACGTAGAACCGTGTGCTACTAGCTGATAGATATCCAGCCAAATTGAAATAGACAAAAAAAATGAAAAGAAATCACAAGAAATAAGCAAGTTCCAATCTTGCAAGTCGTCAAGTAGCGCGCATGGTGTACA